GTTGACTGTCTTGTCCATAAGTTTAACAAACTTGCGATTTAAGGGGAGGTGTCCTCCCCTAAACATACCCTCAAATTTGGCCATTTTGTAGAGAACATCTTCGGTGATATGCCTATGCAATAAAAAAACTCGTTGATCAAATATTGACAGAGTTATTAATTAATTAAGTTCAAAACTAATTGAAATTTTTAGTTTGACAGGCGCATTTTAAAGCCTTTCTAGCTTTCGATATAAATGTTACATTCAATCGATTGTAGTGTAGTTTGATAGAGAATTGTTTGTAAATATAATTCCATACAAAAAGGTTTAAGAACGGTACCTGTGACCGTTTGTTAATTACTAATTAGTTCTGGTTAGCACTACTTAGTGGCACACCAGCGCACAAAGTAAATTTTCCTAATATCAGAACAAATGAAAGCAAATCATGCGGTATATCATTCGATAGAACTTTTCGAGCTCTATCGATCCTTCGAACTACTTTTTTAAATTTTTGCCTTTTTTCTCTGAAAAATCCGTTTTAAATCATTTTTGGTGTAAAAAAACTGAGCAATTGTCAGTTTTCTCAACCAGAACTCAAGTTCTATGCAACAAAAATATCAAATTCGGAATCAGGATCAAAAACTTAAATGTACGATACTCAATAATTGTTCATCAATTAATAGACACCATTAACTAATGACAATGATCTTGGCAATAATTTTGATGCTAATTCTCGAATATTTGTTCTTTGGCAATGATATATTTCATTTATATGCATGTCTAGGTTCTAAATTATATTTTGTAGTAACATGTCTCATTGGTGCCCATCTATGTCCAAGATTCTTTGCATCATGAGAATATTTAAAACATTTACTATCTAAATGCAATTCATGATCCGATGTTATACCGTCACATTTTAATTTATCTATTTTATTAGCTTCATAAAATTGGTTGGCTTTGGGATGTCCATTTGAATATCTTACTTTAGCCGCATTTTGCAGTTGATGTTTATCAAATGTTGATCCTTCTTCTATAGCTTGTTCAGTAAATGGCCCTAATACACGATTTAATAATGGTAGCATTTTTTTGATATGTTTAACTGTATCTATCTAGATAGATTTAAAATAAAATCTAGAATTATCCCCCTCTGATTTTTATGTCGGTTTCTAGTATTCAAGTTGTACGCTATGCCGAGCTATGTTTTAGAAAAAGATATGTTCTGAGATAAGTGCCAATAAGGAAAAAGAAGCAAATTTTATACCGGTAGATTACAAACATACAAGATTGTTGATAAGCTCTTAACCATTTCCGTATAAGTTTGTCAAAATGTTTGCTTCACAACATCTGAAACTATATTCCAACAAGGAAAATGTGGACGTACAGCTTGATTCACTTATTTTCAAACAGTTTTTGTCAGTTGATGTATTTCTGCCAAACATAAGACGTTTTTTATTTTTATATGGCTGGATAGAGCATTCATTTCTCTATCCAACTGTATATTTTGTATAAGATTGATTCAGAGAAAAGTGAAAGAATTTTGTTCAAACCCGTTCATTAACTGTGAAATTACTGAAGATTCTGTCAACTTAACTAACTAAAATAAAATAAATTAGAATGTACCTAATCTCTTGGCTTTTAGTCCCAGTTTGAAGTACATAAGTTGCACTCTATGCAAATATATTTTTTAGAAAAAGGTACAGTCTACTTTTTGAGATACAGGACTGTCAATATGAGCGATGAGTAACGAAAGAAGATTGACTTTTCTTGCTCCATTATGAAGCATAATTGCTTCTTTAAGCAGTTCCCGACTAGCATGACTTTCCGGCTTTCTCTTCGGGTCATACTAGTCTTTTAAGATCAAATAGTATACGGGGTAGACGCTTTCCTGCTTGTTGTGAAATGTATTAGCAGATCACTATAAAATATACACATATTCTGACCTAAATAAAGAACTTTTTCAATACCTTTGTTTGTTACATAAATTATGACGGACTATTTACTTTTCATTCATAAGTTATTATGTAGCATGATAAATCATCAATAATGAAATTGAAGATTCATCACTCACATAATTATCTTACAGGAAACTATAAAACAATGTATACAAATTACGCACAAAAAATAATTTATTCTATCCAGCATAAAACGAAGAAATTTCGGCAAAAATATTAATTTTATTCTCTTTGATCATACAATTCTTAATTCTGATTCTTTTTTCTTATATGAGTACACAACACGTTTTCTCTTTAACGATCAAAAGTTCATGGAAACGACTAAATTTTCAAATGCTGTAAATTAGTTAAATTTTATTTAGCTTTATAGAAAAGAACAAATTTTCTGTTTTAATCTATATATTCGTTTATTATATGTCCAAAAGAAGCAGAGCTCATCTGATATTCTGCCAACTCCTTAGATTAAAATTAAATTAACTAGACAGGTGAAAAAACTGATCCCGTGGATGCATTCGGATCCGAGATCGACTTTTTTCGCTATTGAATATTATTGAACATCTTTACAGAAGTTCCGTGTTTTCAAATAATTGAAAGAACTTTTGACTATAAAATCATTTTCGATTGATATATTAATATAAGCATTGTCATTTTCTTGGATAGGGACCTTTTATACAAAAGTTCTGGACGGTGCTTTGCATTTAAAAGCTTTTTGTTCAAGTGATTATGATCTATACAATCGATACTGTTACAGTCCGGAATAATTGTTCTTGCGTAAGAAACTACCAAAGGAATCAATTCTGTCTCAATTATATCTCTTTGTTTCACTTGTTTAATATGTTCTTCTATCCACCATTCAAACATGTATGTCTCATCCACAACAAATTTGGATTATAATAGATGCAAACAAATCTGTCCACAATGGAAATCGCAACTGTGGTAGCTATTCAACTATCCAGTTTCTTAACTTTTCAGCTGCTGAATTCAACTATTCAATCCCTATTTATCCGTATAAGTGCGGATAAAAGACGTTTTGTCGCTTTAAACATAGCTTTCGTTTGGTTTTTTTACAGGGGGTTGAAGTAGCACATTAGCCCTATAACTTGCTATAACAAAAATAACCTCCAGTTCGCTTTTACACACCAATAACAAATTATTATTGCTATAAAATATTTTACAGAAAAACTAATGTACAATAATGATGAAATATTAAATCCTTTAATGTTTTTTTTATGATAATAATAATAATGTACCTGGGGCGGCGGAACCATGGGTACTTTGGTACCCACAGAATTTGTAACCTAGAGTGTGCGGAGACAAGCAGTTCCCACAGGTTTTATGTCCTCATAGCTAATCTTGGATATATAGATCTACATGTTGAACTGAACTGAATTTTTATTTTTGCAAGCATGGTTGCTGCAAAGAAAGGCTAGCTTAAGCTAATGCAACACCGAAAATAGTGAAGAAATACTAAAAAGAGCAAGTAGACAAACCTCAAATTGAAGTTTTTTTAGGCTAAATCCCATTTAACTTTCGTCTAAGTAGATTTAAATTTGCCTGGCCAATACTTCAACTTTGCTTTTGGGTAGACAAAACTTGAATCTAAAACCGAAATTCGGATTTTGCTTGAATATAGTTAGAAATTAAAATTTTCATGCAATCTAAGA